CTTTTGTCTCTTAGGTAAAAATCCATTTTGAGCTGGGTGTATAAAGTAATTCAAATATCTTTTGAGTCTTTCTGCTATTATTGAAGCAAATATTTTGTAATCCACATTTAGCAGGGAAATTGGTCTATAAATTTTTATTTGTTGTAGATCGGTATCTTCTTTTGGTATAAGTGTAATATATGCCTCTGTCCATGAATCAGGAATTTTACTTTTTATCAGGACCTCATTCATTACTTCAAGCATTATAGTGCTAATTGGTTCCTGTATTGTCTTGTAAAATTCTTCCGGTAACCCATCTGGGCCAGGCACTTCCCCAGTATTTTGTCTATTTATTGCTTCTGTCAATTCCATCATTGTTATTTTCCCTTCTAACATTGTCTTAGTTTCATCAGATATTTTTGGTAATTTTGTTCCTCGTAGATACTGTTTAACTTTCCCTTCTTCAATATTCTCTTGCTTGTAGTTTTTCATAATACTTCTGCACTATTTCTTTCTTTTCTTCATTTCCATAACATACCATTCCACTTTCATCTACTAATTGTGTTATTCTTTTCGGTTCCCTCTCTTTAATTTGTATGCTAACCATCTACCTGGTTTGTTTGCATTTTCAAAGAAGTTTTGTTTAGCTCTCCTGATTTTTTGTGCCAGTTTTTCTTTCTCCAGTAGTCCCATTTTATGTTTAACTGTGTCCATTTGGTTTTTAATATTCTTGTGCTGTGGATCTCGTTGTAGTTCTTTTTCCAGCTTCTTATAATCCTCTTCTAGAATCTGTTGTCTTTTTTTTATATTCCTTCTTCTTGTATATGTTATAATCACGCCTCTACTATAGGCCTTCATAGTATCCCATACATTTTGTAATGAAGTTTCCTCCTTTTTATTTTCTTTGAAGAAAGCCAATTCTTTTTCCATGTTATTTATGTTATTCCATGTTATTCCATGTCTTTATCCATCTTGCCTTTTCTTTTGTCCCTTCCACTTGACCCATATTGGATTATTGTCCGCCCAAGTACTTGTTTCAATGTTTACTTCTTGTATATTTAAAATTAAATCAGTTGACATTCTATCATATGTATTCTTGACCATGATAAGTGTCTGTTAGAATAGAATGTATATTGTCTATTCTTGCTATTCAATTCTCTCCATATGTCTTTAATACTCAGCTCCTCTACCATTTTAAAGAAGGATTTCGGCAGTGTCTATTTTTTTTAATTTACTTTCTGTGTTTTGTAGTCCATATCTGCATCCACTGTAGCATTAAAGTCTCCAAGAACGCATATATTATCATATTCCAATTCAATTATCTTTTTATGTAACTTCTTATAGAATTCTTGTTTATCATTTGGTGCAATATTGCAACTAAGAGCATCTTTAAATTGTTGCCTGTTATTTCCACCATCAATATTCTTCCTTCTTCATCTGTAAAGATTGATTTAGCTTTTATTGTACTCTTGATATATAGAACTACTACTCTCTTATTTTGTTGTGCCAATGAGGTATATAAATTCCCAATTCTGGGACAATTCAAAACTTGTACATGTTGTTTTTTTAATGTGAACTTCTTGTAAGCAAATTATATCTGTCTTTAGTTTTTCTAATTTATTGGGGGGGGGGGGGGATTTCCTTTTAGTGGCCGAATTCAGTCCATTTATATTTATAGAGATTACTTTCTTTTCATCTTCCATTGTTTACACTTTATATGTAGGGTTTATTGCTCTTGTTCTTTGCTCTCTTGGTTCTTTTAGTTCCACCCTGCCACCTATTGCTCCTTCTTCTCGTCCTCTTTCTTCTCTTTTTTCTTTATCCATTTTTAGCCATCTCCACTCATAGTTTAAGTTCCTTCTCTCTTGCTCATTCTTCTTTTTCTCTAAAAGTATTCATCATAGAACAACTCTGCTTTCTCAACTGAATCCAACCTGTGTCTTTGTTCTTGCCAAATGAACATGAGGCTTTCAGGGATCAGCCATCTATAATTCACTTCTTTCTTAATTAAAATGTTTGTCAAGAATATTCTCTTCTCAAATCTCTCACTTTCCTTGGTACTTGTTTTAGGAGTTTGATCTCCTTTCCCTTATACTTCAAGGGGTCATCTCTTGCTTTCTGTAATATCTCTGTTTTGTTTTCTTAGTAAATTTCACATGGACTTCCCTAGGTAATTTATGTCTCATGGCGTATCTGGTATATACTCGGAATACTTCATCCATTCCATCCATCATTTTTTCTTTGGGCATCTCCATGGCTCCTGCCAAAACTTCTGTCATTATTTCTGCAAGGTTTTCTCCCTTTTCTTCCTCAACATTTTAAAATCTAAAATAAAGATCAGCTTTGTCCATCTCCCAGGCTAACGTTCCCTTTCCCTTATCTTGCTCAACTACTATCAACCTGTTATCTATTTCTCCTACTTTCTTCTCTGTCTGTTCACCTCTTTCTTCCATCTTTTGCATCCTTTCTTCATCCTTCATCATCATTTGTTGTATATTTTCCATTTTCTCTTCCATCCTTCCCAGCTTCTCTTCCATCTTCCCAATTTTATCATCCGTACACCTCCCTTGGTCTTGTATTGATTGCAGTATTAATTTTAATTCTTGCATTGAGACATCCTTCTTCTTTTCCTGTTGCAACATAGTTTGTATTGATCGTTGACCAGCTGGGCTCAGAGAAGAGGAGGTAGGAATCGATGATCCAATAGCAGTTGTCTTCCTTATTTTAGATTAATAATCCAATCAAAAAAGGATCTTCCAATAACTCCAAAGCAGAATCTTCAGGTTCTTCTCTATCTTAATCCAATTGTATTAAAAAGAAGTGGAAAGGGAAAAATAGAAGAAAAAAGAACAAAAAAGAAAAAGCCCAAACTCTTCATATCCAGGAGATATATAAAAAGGATAAAAAGTTCAAAAATCTGATAAAAAAAGAAAAAAATAATTCAAAAGTACAAATCCACCAGGTTCTAAAAAAAAGTAAAAACAGACTGTAATCCACTTATTGATGAAAAAAGGAAAGGTTGCAGTGTTCCAAAAACAGGCCAAGTAAAGCCCAGAGCACACCAGCAGAAAAAAAGAGAAAAAACAATTTGAGATTGCCAGCTGTAGTTTAGAATTTAAGTCACAAAATGAGTCTGAGTCTCAGTATAACATCCAACAAGCCAAAAAGCCAAAATCAAACACATCAATAGAATATTGTCCAAGGTCACAGTAATCTTTTCTCTTTCTCTCCAGCTGTTTACAAAGTTTGTGAGAGCAGCACCTGTTTCCAGTGCTCACTCTCTATCTTCTCTTTCTTCTGAACAGCCTGTAGTCAAAACAATTCAGTCTTTTAATCTCTTTTAAAGTCTTCAACTTTTAAACGTATGTGACCTCTAGACGGCAGTATTGCTTAGCTTTCTTTTTGTTATTTTGTATCCACTACGTTTTTAAAATTAAAGATAACAGTTAAAGTTTATCTTCTATTAATTATTATTACACAGTCCAGTCTAGTTAAACAGAAAAAAAATTCTTTAAAAAAAAGTAAAATAATCCAAATAAAGTTTGACAGCTAGCAATGTGCTCTATTTCGCTGCTGTTCTCCGCTTTTCTGTCTTCTAAACAATCTTTCCCCTTAGGGTACTCTTCTGTTTTAAACAAAGAAAAAATTGAAAAATCTCACCCCAACCAACACACTTTTCCTTCTGATCTTCTTTCCCTTCTGGGGCTGTCACAGCTTTCTAGCAGCTTTAATGGCTGCTTTCCTCCGCTGCCGGGCTTCAAGAGCTTTCCTGGATCAACCAGGGACTTTGCGATGTCCCTGGGATCGACAGGATGTGCTCCCTTCACTTACCGTCTCTCCGGGATGGTTTGAGCCCAATTGGACCATCCGGTTGTGGCGATTTCGGCGGCTTTTCCCAAAGCTCAGGAATCGCCGTCGTTCCACAACAGCAGCCCCACCCTCCAAGTTGAGGACTACTTGAACCTGACAATAGAGGTAGTCCCCGACTTACAACAGTTCTTTTAGTGACATTTCAAGTTACAACGGCACTGGCCAAAAGCAACTTAGGACTGCTTTTCACACTCATGACTGTTGCAGCATCCCCAGTCACATGATCAAAATTCGGATGCCTGACAACGGACTCATATTTATGACGGTCACAGCGTTGCAGGGTCACGTGATCCCCTTTTGCGACCTTTGGACAAGCAAAGTCAACATGGAAGCCAGATTCACTTTACAACCATGTTACTAACTTTACAACTGCAGTGATTCCCTTAACAACTGTGGCAAGAAAGGTCATAAAATGGGGCAAGACTCACTTAACAAAGGTCTCACTTAGTAATAGACATTTTGGGACTCAAATGAGGCAGGACTCAATGCACGTCTCATGTAGCAACGTAAATTTTGGGCTTGACTGTGGTCGCACGTCGAGGAGTGCCTGTCAATATGAAAGCCAATAGTTTGGAAAACGTTGGTACTTTTTCAGGGCTTTCTCAACAGCCAAGGCTCAGCAAAATGTACAAATTCTCGGATGGCAGGATCGTTGTTGAATTGGCTTTCAAACTCTCTTTTTTATCCAAAATCTACTAATTTGGCTTGCAGGAGCCCTTTCATGGGTCTGTTTCACATGATCAAGGAAGAGAACTCTCTTTTTACCCAAAATCAACTGATCTGGCTTGCAGGCAGGGTGGATAAAAATTGATGGATTTTTTTTTTAAAAAAATAATTTTAATTTTTAATTTTTAGCAAATTTATTTTAATAAAATGCTTTTGGAGTAAACGGGTCAGAGGAAGAGCTGTTGCAGGACAGAGATGACAGCTGCTCTTTAACAATTATAATTTAAATCGAGTTGATTTAAACTAAATCCACCCTGCTTGCAGGAGCCCTTTCATTGGCCTGTTTCACGGGATCAGTGAAGAGAGGCCAGGTGTTTTAAGCCTGGGATTGCTACCTAGCTATCTGCAAGCGTGAACCTGACCACCTACGGTGGACCAACCCCCACCCCCTTTCCCCAACCTGTTGATCCCTTTAAGGATCAGACCTGTAAGCACGTCCTCGGGGCGGCCTGCTGCTGAAGCCACTGTAGAAACGGGCCCTGGAACTGCTGTAGCCAGATCCTCGCCCTCGGTACCGGGTCCTGGGGAAGCCTCTGTCTGTGGTGCTGATGCCTGGCCGGTTGGTCCGTTTGGGAATCACCTAAAAAGAGAATCATGCAGGTCAGGCTCGGGGGGGGTGAGGTGTTAAGGAAAGGGTGAGGGAGTGAGAATGTCTGATCTTTTCTGCTTGTTACCCTAGGAAAATGCAGACACCTCTCCGTTAAGAGGAAATTCAAGTAGAAGAGATTAATTTGTACTGTGGGGCCATTGATGCTCTCTGACCTGGGTGGTTTTCTTGCAGACATTTCGTGACCCAAAGTAGGTAACATCATCGGTGTCAGAAGGGAGTGGGGTTTGCAGGGAGGAGAAGGAGGAGAATGACTGTGGGGTCCTTGGTGCTCTGAGCTTGCAGACATTTCATGACCCAACTAGGTGACATGTGGGGTTTGCAGAAAGGAGGGAGGAGGAGGAAGAGAGTGTTGTGGTTCACCGGCAGCCTGTGTGGACAGCAGCAGAATCAGACAGTGGGGAAGAACAGGGACCAGTCCGGGAGTCTGGGGAGGAGTCGGATGAGGGTCCTGTGTCTGATACAGAGATGGGGCCAGGACCACCTGGGAGTGGGGTGCTGACTCCGGAGCCTCCGGAGTCTGGCAGCAGCAAGGCCAAGGAACAAGGGGAGCCTGTTCCTGGTGTGCGTGTGCACAGAGCTGCCAGAAGGCAAGAGCAGCTAAGACAAAAGGGGCGACTCGGGAGCAACACTTGGAGGTGATTGCCCCTCCCATAAGGTATAAAGGAAGTGCAAAGGTAGAGAAACCTTTGCAGGAAGCAAAGTTGTTTGCTCTGTTCGGATTAAACCTCTGTGTGGACTTTGTATTTTGTTTGGCTTTTTACAGTTAATTTGGCACTTTAGTTGTTGGCAGCAATTCAAAGGAGATAAAGGTAGGTGCTTAACTCGAGAGACTGTTTGGCACTCATTACGGGCTGGGAATGAACATAATTCCCAGCGCTGAAATAAAACAACAGTTGTTTGGACTAAGTGTGTACTTAATTACGGCCTCAGGAAGCCTTGGTCAGAACAACTGTGGGGTCCTTGGTGCTCTCCGAGCTTGGTGGTTTTCTTGCAGACATTCTGTGACCCAACTAGGTGACATCATCGGTGTTAGAAGGGAATGGGGTTTGCAGAAAGGAGAACGACGACTGTGGGGTCCTTGGTGCTCTCTGAGTTTGCAGACATTCTGTGACCCAACTAGGTGACATAATCAGTGTTAGAAGGGAGTGGGGTTTGCAGGGAGGAGGAAGAGGAGGACTGTAGGGTCCTTGGTGCTCTCTGAGCTTGCACACATTTCATGACCCAACTAGGTAACATCATCAGTGTTAGAAGGGAGGACAGGGAGGGAGGGAGGAGGAAGAGAACCGTGGGGTCCTTGGTGTTCTCTGAGCTTGGTGGTTTTCTTGCAGACGTTCTGTGACCCAACTAGGTGACATCATCGGTGTTAGAAGAGAGTGGGGTTTGTGGAGTTGAGAAGAGGAGGAGAGAGAAGGAAAAGGAAAAAGTGGAGGGACTATGGTTTCTTTGTAGACATTTCATGACCCAACTAAGGAACATCATCAGTACGAGAAAGGAGTGAAATTTGTGAAGTGAAGCAGGAGGAAAGAAAGAGAAGGAAAAGGAGAAAGATAAGAGGAAGAGGAGAACGACTGAGGGGTTCTTGGTGCTCTCTGAGCTGGGTGGGGGTTTTTTTTGCAGACATTTCATTAACCAGCTAAGGAATATCATCAGTGCTACAAAGAAGTGGGATTTATGGAGTGAAGCAGGAAGAAGTGAGAGAGAAGAAGGAGTGAAGGAGGAAGAGGAGGAAGATTGAGGAGTCTTTGGTGCTCTCTGAGCTTGGTGATTTTCTTGATGTTTCATTACCAAACTTGGCAACATCATCAGTGCACTGAACACCTCAGTGTCCTTCCTCCTTCTCCCTTCACTCCCCAAACCCCACTGCCTGCCAACATTGATGACATTCCCTAGCTGGGTCACAAAACCTCTGTGAGAAAACCACCAGGCAGAGAGAGAGAGAGAGAGAGAGAGAAAGAGAGCACAGGGGGAATTCCAGGTTGGAGTGATCCTGATGGGAAGAGAGCCGAAGCAGAAAACCTCACCTTCTTCTCACTACGTAGGTGGTTCGGGTCGAAGGGTTGGCTGCAAATGTTATTCAGGAGTCGGGCACAGTGTGTGTGTGTGTGTGTGTGTGTGTGTGTGTGTGTGTGTCTGAAAAGGGCATACCCACCTTGATCTGTCTCCCCCTGAAGAGGGACTCGTCTAGCGCTAAGGAAGTCCGCACTGACTCTTTGTCGGAAAATTCAATGTAGGCGAACCTTGAGAAAATGGGCAGAAGGACGATTAGACAGTTCATAGTATTTAGCAGGAGGTTCACTTACAGGTAGTCCTCGATTTACAATCGAACTGGGCCCAATGCCTGTTGCTCAGCAAGCTTTGCCCCATTTTATGACCTTGCCAGCCACCATTAAGTTGGCAACACGACTGTGAAACGAATCTGGCTCCCCCATTAACCCCCGTTTGTCAGAAGGTTGCAAAAGAGGATCACATGAGACTCCCCGCAAGGGATATGACAATCATCATAAATACAGTTGCCAAGCGTCCAAATTTTGATTTCCATGACCATGGGGATGCCGCAACGGTCGCAAGTGTGAAAACAGTCATAAGTCCCATTTTTTCAGCGCCGTTGTAACTTCGAACAGTCACTAAATGAAAGGGTGTAGGCCTACCTATATTTTACTGTACCAACTGTGGGAAGTGCACCCCAAAAGACAGTGCCAGGAACCACTAAAGCAGTGCCAAAAGACTTAAGCCAGCCCTTCCCCCTTTAAAAAAACCAAGAAGCAGCAGCTAAAAGGAAAACTCAGAGCAGCCTCCTAAAGGCTGTTACAAAAGTAACAAAGCTGACCAGTGGTGGGATTCAAAATTTACTACCGGTTCTGTGGGCATAGCTTATTTGGTGGGCGTGGCTTGGTGGTCATGTGACTGGGTGGGCGTGGCCAACTTGACATCACTCACATCAAGGGGTGCTGTTAGGAATGTAAGTCACCTAACAGCTATTTGGGTTGAAAATATATAAACCAGGATAAATATTTTAATACTGTATCTTTAAGAGAATCCTAAAAGTGTAATTGGGTGTGGTTTCTAAAACGGCCATAAGATGGAGCCAGAAACCTGGATTGTTTTAGTCTTAGTCTCAGAAGAAGTCTCAGTGAGTCTCTGTTTCCTTCTGTTGGAGAATATTGCCGTTCTTCCTAATTGACTGCTATTTTTGGATTTGATGTAAGTCTGATACTGAACTGTTTTTGACACTGGACTTTGTTATTGGATTATCCCTGGACTAAAAACTGACTGATCTTACCTGTGAATGACTTTGGACTGTGTTTGAACTTTGCTTAAAAGTTTCTGGAAGTAAAAACCTACATTTACTGGACAGTGTTATCTGTGTGCTGTGTGTGTATTATTCAAACACTACTCTCAAATATGCCTCCCTGTATGCGCTCATTCTCCTAACGGAGAATTACCTCAACACTGGTTATGGGCCCAGGCCATACCAGGCTCAGATAACTGAGAGTTGGTGTGAATGCACAGTACTGTATAGAGACAGCTGTTTACTGTTTAATTGTGGGTTACTATCCTGGTAAAGATGGCACAAGACACTTGAACAAGTCTATCACTGATAACCTGGTTGGATGGAACAAACTATGTTTCCTGGTCTATGAAATGCAGTCTACTTCTTCGTAGAGAAGGGCTATGGAATGTAGTTCAAGACCGACTTGATGTAAATGCTTGGGATCCAAATAATGAGGACGATGCCAAGAAGCTTGCTGACTTTAAACAGAACGAACAAGCTCTTTGTATAATTGGACTAACACTGAGTGACCAGCAGCTAGTCCATATTCGTGGAGAAGAGTCTGCTGCTAAGTGTTGGGAGAATTTGAAGAGGATTTATGTTCGTGACAGTGTAGGTACACACATACATCTTACACGTAAACTGTTTAGAGCACGTCTTCTGAAAGGTGGAGATATGTTAGCTCATTTGAACTTCATAAAAAGAACTTTTCAAGAGCTACATGAAAAAGAACTGATATTTTCAGAGCTGCATCAAGTTTACATCATTCTTTCCTCATTGGATGAAAGTTATGATGATTATGTATCTTCACTGGAAGTCCTGCCCAGAGATAAACTGACATTGACTGACATAATTGGAAGATTGTTAGAAGCAAGAAGACGGCTGGATAGGGACCAACTGAGGAAGGAACAACCACAAGAAGAGGATTTGTCTTCAACTGCCTATATTGTTAGGAAATGTTTTTCTTGTGGGGCTAGGGGACATATAGCTAGATTCTGTAAGAAGGGAAAACAACAGCATACTAGTAATCACCAGAAGGCCAAGAAGAATGTTAGTGTAGCTATGTCTAGCAATTCAACTGTAAACCATGATTTGTGGGTTGTTGATAGTGGAGCATCGCAGTGCATTACTGAAGATAGAAACAGGTTTGTAAAGATGTCCACGAGTAAACAACATGTATCATTGGAAAATGGATGGAAGATTAAAGCATCAGGTCAAGGTACTGAATACTGTTCTTGTATAAATGAACATTTAACTATGTTATATGTACCTAAACTGAAATTTAATTTATTATCAGTAAGGGCTTTAGTTAATCTTGGTTATGTAGTAACCTTTAGGGGAGATAACTGTATAATAGAGAAAGAGGGTAAAAGTGTTACTGCTACTTTAGAGAATGATTTATATGTGATACATGATGACCAGTTGAAGATGGCTAACTCAGTTTATAACAATGTTAAGCCACATGATGAATGTTTACATTAACTTCATAGACGTCTAGGGTACATTAATTTCAAAATGCTCAAACAAACTGTTGAATTGTCAGAGGGAGTAAAATTGAAACCCTGTAGCAAGTATTTAAACTGTAATGCTTGTAGTCAAGAAATGAGTCAGGATATGAGTGGAACCAATGTATAGTTAAAGAATGAACTAAGATAGGTTTTGTAGCTGGCATGGCTGATCCATGTTTGTTTAAAAGAGAAAGTAATGGTGTAATTTCATTATTGCTATTATTTACTGATGACATAACATTAATCACCAAAACTGAACAAGAAGCTACTGAGATAATTTCACTATTAGAAAAGAAATTTAAGATAAAACAGTTAGGAGAAATCAAACAATATCTTGGTTTAAAGATAGATAGAACTAGGGGAGGATACAAGATCTCACAGGCGGATAAAATTAACCAATTACTAAAAAGTTTTAAAATGGAACTTTGTAAGCCGGCTAAGAAACCAATGAGCCAGGAGTTTAGCCATGGTGATGTTCAAAGTCCTGTTTTTGATAAGAACATTTATCAGTCTTTGATTGGTAGTTTATCTTATCTCAGTAATTGGTCAAGGCCAGACATTGCATACAGTGTTAATCAATTAGTGAGATTTAACGCTGAGCCAACTGAAAGGCACTGGCAAGCTGCTAAAAGTGTGTTCAGATATCTGAAACAAACAATGCACTATGCATTGTATTTGGAGCCAAAAGATGAAATGAGTTTAAATGCATATGCTGATGCAAGTTTTGCTACAGACATAAATACACAAAAATCTACATCGGGTACTGCTGTATTATTGGGAAAAGCATTGATTGGATGGAGATCTATTAGACAGAAACATCTAAGTTTGTCAACATTAGAGGCTGAATTCTCATGTTTGTCTTTATTATGTACAGATTTAGTTTTGTATAAGCAACTACTAATTGATATGGGAATTAATGTAACAGATTCTATTGTTGTTTAGGAAGATAACCAATACAGATGGCTTCAAATATTGCTGTTAAAACAAGAATGAAACACACAGATTTAAGATATTTAAATGTGAGACAATGTGTGCAAAGTAAAATGATTAAGCTAGAATACTGTATTTCAGAAAACAATATAGCGGATCATTTTACAAAGGCCCAAGGCTCTATAAAGCATAAGGCTTGCTGTGAAGATTATGGACTTAGAATGTAAGGTTGTATATATTGTCTTACTCAAAAGGGGAGAATGTTAGGAATATAAGTCACCTAACAGGTATTTGGGTTGAAAATATATAAACCAGGATAAACATTTTAATACTGTATCTTTAAGAGAATCCTAAAAGTGTAATTGGGTGTGGTTTCTCAAACAGCCATAAGATGGAGCCAGAAACCTGGGTTGTTTTAGTCTTAATCTCAGAAGAAGTCTCAGTGAGTCTCTGTTTCCTTCTGTTGGAGAGTTTTGCCATTCTTCCTAATTGACTGCTATTTTTGGATTTGATGTAAGTCTGATACTGAACTGTTTTTGACACTGGACTTTGTTACTGGATTATCCCTGGATTGAAAACTGACTGATTTAACCCGTGAATGACTTTGGACTGCCTATTTTGAACTTTGCTTAAACATTTCTGGAAGTAAAAACCTACATTTACTGTACAGTGTATCTGTGTGCTGTGTGTGTATTATTCAAACACTACTCTCAAATACGTCTCCCTGTATGCGCTCATTCTAACGGGGAATTACCTCAACAGGTGCCTTGCCTGGCATCAAAGAGATACAATTTTCCTATTTACTATTACTGAACATACAAAATACACTATTTAATCCTATGTACATATGCCATATGTGTACATACATATTACATAGTATAGTATAGCACACAAAAAATACATTATCTACTATATATACTGTACGTGTATGTACACACACACACACACACACACACAGCTCTTCTAAAACTATATACATTCAACCTCACTGCGTTTGGAAAAACACACCCATAGTCCACTTTCTGCCACACATTTAAGTATAACTTCTGTACATTAGAACATTGCAAATGCCTTCAGATTTACTTCCCTAGCCTGCACATGACCATTAGACCCAGGAGATATCATGGATTGAGTAAAATGTGGTGAAACTCACTTAACAACGCTCTTGCTTAGCAATCAAAATTTTGGACTCAATTGTGGCCATAAGTGAAGGACTATCTCTGCTTTCCTCTGCATGGCAGCTTTGTCCTAGTAAACTCCTCTGCCAATTTTCCTCTCTGTTAGAGGCACCAAAATTATCCAGATTCCAGATGATATAAGGTCTCCTGCTGGAGCAGCGGGTTCGACTAGATGGCCTCCAAGGTTCCTCCTAACTCTGCTATTCTATGATTCTGTAAGGATCTCCTGCTGGAGCAAGGGATTGAACTAGAACAGGGGTCTTCAAACTTGACAGCTTTAAGACTTGTGGACTTCAACTCCCAGAATTCCTCCTCCAGTCATGTTAGCTCAGGAATTCTGGGAGTTGAAGTCCACAAGTCTTAAACTTGCCAAGTTTGAAGACGCTTGGCACTAGAAGATGACCTCTGAGATCCTTTCCAGCCCTAGATTGCTTGCTGTTTCAGAGTCTTCTGAAGCCAGGGTTTGTGTCATTCCTTCCTCTCCTTTTTTCTCTCTCTCCCTCCTTCCATGTATCCATCCATCCATATCATTCACTTTCTCCTCCCTCCCTTTCTTTCTCTCCCTTCCTTCCATCCTGTCTTTGTCTAACCCTTTTCTTCCTTTCTCTTTCTTTCCCTTTTCTCTTTCTTTTCTTTCTCTCTTCTCTCTCTTTCCCCCTCTTTGTATCCCTCTCTTCTCTTTCCCTCTCTCTCCCCCTCTTTCTCTCTCTTACCCCATTTCTGTCTCTCTTTCCCTCTTTCTATCCCTTCCTTCCTCCTTCCCTCTCTCCTTCTAAAGCTAGGAGAACCACCTGAAACAAACACACACACACACGCTTCCAAGTGCCCAACTGAAACAAACACACACACACTACTCTCTCTCGTGATACTGGTCTGGAACGAACTGATCCAGCAAGCCTCAGAGCAGCGGGAGAACGAAGAAAGCTCATGGAGGTACTCCAGTGGGCAGTGGGGCTACAGGAAGCAGCCGCTGGAGTTCCCACCCTCCCTTTCGGGGCGCCGCTGCCGCTCGCTCCGCTGCCCACACTCACCAAAAACACTCTGCCCTTAGCAACAAACACCGCGCCCCCCCCCATGCACCCTTTGCAGCTCCCCAGGCCAACACTCATCCTGCAGCTGCGCCTTCCTGCTCGCCCCTCGCCTTGCCCCAACGGGGCAGCCGCACCAGCCACGACCAGCAACAGACCGCCTCCTCCTCCGCCTCCCTTGAAGTCCTTGCCCTGTGCTGCCCCACACCTTCGCCGCTCATTGGGGAGGAACCAGAGTGCAAACTGTTTGAACAAAATAATTTGCATTTTGTCAGAAGCCTGGCAGCTCGCTGGCTGGCTGCTGAGAATATATGAGTTTTTACAAAGTAGACGTGAAAAAAAGTACCGGTATCGTCCCTTTGACCTCATGCTCTGCCGCCAATCAACTGCCCACCCCAGAATTTCTCAATTCCTCACAATTAACATACAGAAAAATCCGCATTCTTTTCATAATGCCATCCAGCCGCAAAGGCCCCCCACCGGAGCCCAGTTTCCAAATCCTGGGGGGAGGTCGGGGGGGCTGCTGCGGAAAAGGGGCGGCAGCTTCATCTCCGCGGAGGATGATATTGTAAGGAGAGGACCAGGAGGCACCCACCCACTCTAACTTGGGGAGATGGAAAGAGACCCTCAGAGGGGGGCGGGGTCCCACAAGTCTCCTAGCCCTGTCCTGTTCCTGGCCTTCCAAGCGATGGGGAGCGGCTTCCTCTCCATCTGGACCCTCATAGCCTATGGGCACTGGGGGATCGTCTGGATGGCCTCACCTGACTTACCCACTCCCCCAGATCTCCCTAACACGTGGTGGCCGTGGTGCAAAGCCCCGGCCGCCCGGGCAAGCAGGTTTTTTGCACCTCCGCTGCTGCTCGTTGCAGCACGGGAGAGCGCCACGTGGCGGCTTAGTCAGACAGCCGAGCCCGGGAACGGTGAGGGAGGCAAGACAAGGCCCCGGGAACGGCGGGGGAGGCAAGGCAAGGGAATGGTGAGGGAGGCCCGGCAGGCGAGGAAAAGTCCCGGGAATGGTGAGGGAGGCAAGGCAAGGTCCCGGGAATGGCAGGGGAGGGGAGGCAAGGTCCCGGGAACAGTGAGGGAGGCGAGGCAAGGTCCCAGGAGCGGTGAGGGAGGTGAGGCAAGGGAAGAGCGAGGGAAGCCCGGCAAAGGCGAGGGAGGCGAGGCAAGGTCCAGGGAATGGTGGGGGAGGCGAGGCAAGGTCCCAAGAACGGCGAGGGAGGCCCGGCAAGGGCAAGGGAGGCGAGGCAAGGTCCCGGGAATGGTGGAGGGGGCCCTAGCACGACTTGCAGGCATACCTGTGAGCAGTCAGATCAGGGCTGCTCAGTTGGGGCATAGGCACTACATGGGAAGACAGGTTAAAGGCGAGCCACAAGGACCCAGTGTGCTGCATAGGGGAGGAGTGACTAGGCAGAGCGAGCGTCAGGCAGGCAGGGTGAGGGAGCATCGGGCGAGTGGGGCAAAGGAGCGAGCGATGACCTGGTTGGGGGCGTGGCCAGCCAGAAGTTACTACCGGTTCAGTGACCCACATCCAATTCTTGCTACCAGTTCACTTGAACCAGTGCAAACTGGCTGAATACCACCTCTGAAGCTGACCACAGAAACACTTAAGTAGAGCCATTAAGATAAGGGGAATCAGGCTAAAAATAAACTCTCCAAGGTAAATCAAAAGTCCCTTTTTCCTGCCCCTGACAGGATTAAAACCCTAAGGACAGAATAAATGAATGAATGAATGACCTGGGACCAAGTAAAACAGGAAAACAAAACCCAGGACAATCAGAAACACATCAAAACCCAACAAGCTGCAGGAGCTTCAAAGGGGAATTAAGCATAAAAGGCTCAGATTCACGCTTCCAAAGTGCTTGCAAGCCAGGAATGCTCGAGCCGTGTTTTGCTTCTTGCCTTCCTTCATTAAAAAGAATTCCACTTTCTGGCAGCTGGCTTCTGCATCCATTTCTTCTCAACGTCTGTGGTATGTGCCAGCTAGGAACGAACCAGGGAAATTTCTTCCAACATAACTCTTGAGCTTTAAGGAAGCTTTCAAGCCAAAAGACAAATACCACACACACACACAAACACACCCCAAAGAAAAACTCAACTCACCCCTTGGGATGGCCCGTGTATTTGTCACACAGGATGGTCACACGGTTGACGGAACCACAGCCATGGAAATGGGCTTCCAACTCTTCTGCGGTGGCCCCGTAATCTACCTGAAATGGAAGACGGGTCCAGTTCAGTGGGAAGGCTGCTCGTTTTGTCCTCGCTTGAAGAAAGCTAGGAGGGGGAAAAAACCTCACATTTCCTACGTATATAGATCTGGCGTCGGCTTCCATCTTTTCTTCTAAAGACATGATGACTAGGCCAGCTAGAGAGAAAAAAAGAAAGAGAGGCAGAATTATTAAATAATGTGGAAGGGAAAATGTCTATGGAGATTCTCAGACATCCAGGTTGTTATGTCTCACCTTTACAAAGGAGGTGAGAAGTCCAAACTCCAAC